TACAACCACCCGATAATTCTTTATCAAGTATGACCAATTTTTACGACAATCTAGAAACCTACATTCGTGGATTGCGATCTCTTGGTAAAAAGGAGGATTACTATGGCGATCTACATGTTCCGATTATTTTCGAGAAGTTGCCTGCAAATACAAGAACCCAGATTTCACGCGAACATGGTAATAACGCCTGGTCAATAACAGAATTGAAGAAAGCCATACACAAAGAAATCCAAGCTAGACAAGCGGGTAATCCGATAGAACAATTCAATGAGCAACACGCCACTGAAAGATATTCACCCTCTACAACATCTTTTCATGTTGGATACAAGTCGAACAGATCTTCCGATTTCAAGCCTAGACCCATCAAATGTGCATACTGCAAAGCCGCCCACTCAGCACATGCTTGTGAAATCATAATTGGACCCGATAAACGTATGGCTATAGTGAAAAGAGACAGATTGTGCTTTAATTGCTTAGGACACCATAAAGTACATGAGTGCAAGTCTAAATATCGCTGTAAATTCTGTCACGGGAAACACCATTCTACACTCTGCAACAATGCTAAGAAGACACCCGTGAAATCACAAACTTCCGGTATTGAAGACACACGTCAAACTGACACCAACTAGTCCAGGGCTCGAAATTAGCGGTAGCCCCGCGTCTACAGACTACCAGTTTCTTTCTTGGGGCTACCACTTTTCAAATTCGGTAGCCCAACTGGGCTACCAAAAATCCGGGATCGTTATGACGTACTCGTGATACGATAAAGCTAACACGCAAATTACAAGTTTGCGACCACACGCGACTAGGACAAGTTTGCAACAAGTTAAGATTCACTGACTACGCTTATACTATTTATCTCTTCGAGTTGAAATATAATTATTTATTGACAGGTACTTGGGGAAACAGCCAATCAAATTGTCCCACGGTTCTAGCTGCTTCTGTTATTTTTGAATAAAAGTGTGTTGTTTTCTTTTAATGACGACTTGTCCGCGTCATTTTTGTACACAAATTATACAAAAAATGTTTCAAATTAGTTTATTGACGCCAGTTGTCTTCCTAGCCGGCAAAATAATTTGTTGCTTGCCAGTTCAAGTCAATCGACGTCAAGATGAGTCTCCTGAATTTTTTTCGGAAACAGTCACCACAACCACCCACACAGTCGCATGACCAACCCAAAAACGTTGACGAGGGACCAAATAAAAAGGCAAGGATAGAGCGAGTGCGAAAATTTCAAGATTCTTGGAAGACTGGTCGAGACTGGCTGAAGTATGATGCCGCCAAAAAATCAATGTTTTGTACGATTTGTACAAATGGAACATCGGCATTTGCAAGCAATGACGGTTGTACGAATTTTCGCATTGAATCATTGCGAAAACATGAATCAAGTAGTATTCATCGTAGAGCAGTACAGAAAGTTGTCATTGAAAAAAGCTCAAATCCTCGTCCACTTGTGAGTTGCGTGATGAACATGGATCAAACGCAGTACCAACGACTTCAAATAATATTTCGTACCGCATATTACCTTGCAAAAAACGAGAAACCGTTTTCCGATTTTGCTGATCTTCTGACGCTTCAAGAAATCAACGGTGTTAAAATAGGTAACACTTATCGAAACGACAAGCAGGCTGCTTCTTTTATTGGTTTTATTGGCGAGTCCATACGCCGTCATGTTGCCGACAGCATAAATGAAAGTGGACTGTACTCAGTATTGATTGATTCGTCAACAGACCGTGCTGTTGTGGAGGAGGAAATCATTTACGTCCGTATGTTAGAAGACTGCCGTCCAGTCACTAAATTTCTCAGCCTGCAAGCAATGCCTCGAGGTACTGCGGAGTCCATAATTACGGCGATCGATGCAGGTTTTCGCGTTGAAATGGGGTTAGGAGGAAACGAATGGCGGGAGAGACTGGTAGCTATGGCTTCCGATGGCGCGGCCGTCATGGTGGGGAATCGATCCGGGGTTATGACACGTATTCGCCAAGATGTGCCCCACCTCGTCAGTGTCCACTGTACAGCACACCGTCTTGAATTGTGCCTGAAGACAGCTCTAAGGCAGTGTCGTAATTTTTCCCACATTGAAGATTTTTTAGTTCAAATTTTTAAATTTTATAATAATTCGCCACGTAATCTTGCAGCTTTGAGAGAGGCCGGTAACGCTCTAGGGGTTGCCGTGTTGAAACCGACAAATGTAGTTGGAACGCGATGGGTAGACCATCACAAGCGTGCGCTGGAGGCAATCGATCGAGACTGGAAGCCGCTTGTTACCCACCTAGAGGATATCGTAACCCCAGGAAGTGATCATACAAATGATTCGAAAATAAAAGCCAAGGGTTTTTTGGAGAAACTCACCCGAATGCAGTTTATGAAGTTTGTTTATATACAGCTTGATATTTATCGTGTTCTAAGTCGCATGTCACTCTTATTCCAGCAAAATGACACTTCAATTGAAAGTGTAGTGTAGTGTACGGACTTAAAACTACACTTGACAACTTACAACTGCTAATTAATGAACCCGGCCCATCTGAAAGCACGTTTATTGACGAAACACTTGATGGCACTCGTTACATGTTTCGCGGCTCTCCACTCCATGATCCACCGAGGCGAGAAAATGGAACTGCAGAGGATGAGAAAACATCGCTAATCAATGCATGCAGAGATGAAATCACCACCCGGTTCTTATCATTTACTGAAGAACCAGTGCTTGCGTCGGCGGCAGTGTTTGATCCAACTAACTGGCCTCAACATCCAGACGAACTTCGAAATTATGGTCGAGATGAAATAACAACCATCCTGCGCCACTTCGATAATTTGTTAAATCGACAAACAAATTTTGAAACAGACGAAGTTCTGAACGAATGGACTGGACTCAAAACAACAGTCAGTGCAGTAGTTGCTGCAAATCCAACCTTGCGGTTCTTGGACATTTGGCAGCGAATTCTTAGTAATAATCCTGCAGGATATTCTAATATCTTATGGCTGGTGAAAATAATATTATTGATACCAGTACACACGAGCGAGTGCGAGAGAGGATTCTCTCTCATGTCGCGTATCAAGTCCGATTGGCGTGCAGCTCTGAATACAAATACGCTGTGTCAGCTAATGCGTATTGTATTGCACGGCGGAAACTTGAGAGATTACGACCCGACACATGCAATCGCGCTGTGGTTCAATGACGGTGATCGTGGACGTCGCCCAGACACGCAACCTTATGGTCCCAGACAACCAGCCGACAACGATGAATGAAAACAAATCGCCGTAAAATACCATCAGTCTCAGAATGTATTTCTTGCTCAATGGCATGAAATATACCGTTCATTAGTGAAAATAAATTTTATCAATTTGACCACATATGAAACTCTGCATTTTTTCGTCATTCTCATTTTCTTTTTTCTGTTGTTGTTATTGTTACTGTTGACCCAATTCTCATGCCCATTGTTTTGAAACACTCCAAGCTGCTATTCATTACTGTAAAATGTATTAAATTGTGTTTCTGTAATTAATGATAAAACAACTTCACAAAAGATAAACACAGATATTTTTTAATGATGAATTTAATGAAGTTCAAGTGTTCAGAAAATTACAATCAAGACAATTTATTTGTTGTGGCAATTTAAGTTTTGTGACAATAAGATTGAATACTGTAACATTAAAACTTCAAACTTGGAATTTGCAGTATTTCACAATGCACGATAAGTGAAACTATAAAACATGAACTCTTTATTTCAGTTTAGTTCTCCTGTCTATAGGAAATTAGTACTGATACATTCAAATATATGAAACATTACCTACCTGTCAACAAGATGTACTGAACATATGACATTCGCATAAATACTGCTTTAAAAATTTGGGGCTACCAGTGATTGATCTTGGGCTACCAGATTTAAAAAGTGGTAGCCCAGATGGACTACCAAAAAAAAAAGTTAATTTCGAGCCCTGGTTTGGCATGATTAGTAATTTTAATTAATTTCTAGAAATAATACATAGAATAATGACAATTAAAAGTAGTTTATTACTATAATTTAAAAAAAAAAAAAAATTCTACTGAATCAAAAGTCTCAATTCATCAGCTCATTATTTCTCCAATTAATTAAAAACAAAAAAACAATTCCACGGTATCTGCATTTAGCCGGAGACCTGTGACGGGCAACCATGGATATACCAAAACTCAACAGTGGTTTGATTTACCATGGCCACACATAGAATTTGCTCAACATAAAATACTTAATCAAATCTATGTGAAAAAAGTAGTTCAACGAAACAATTTTATGATTTAAAA